TAGCCTGGCACTGTTTTTGCTCATGACCATGTTGGTGTGCAAAGACTGTTGCTTCATTCTGCTTGTAGTTAGTTCCAGCATGTTCCCCTCTAGTTACTTCCAACATGGAAACAGAAGCAAAGGGGATTTTAGGGAACCTCACTGCTAGTAGGTTAAGCACGTTGACAGGACATAAATGCCCAGGTAAGGGCTTGGCCCTTTGACTTGGGGGTTTCGTTATCTAGAAGTCAGCAAACTACCAGCAGATGCTTTGCAGATTATCTCACACAGTTAAAGAAGAGTTCTGACACAGGCAAACTTCAACCATTTATTTCTTTATCGGAGTTTGAGCATATATAAGATTAAACATTTTATTTCACAAGCCTTGTATCTTGTGATCTTAATGACCTGGTGTTCTGAACACATTACCCAACAGAAGCAACTTGAGGTAGGAAAAATTAACTTTCATTTAGTTTCATTTAGTTTCTTACCACCATAGTGGTGGAGGCATAGTAGATCTTGGCAGTGTGGGGCGTGGCAGGCAGAGTGGAACTGGGGCAGTGTGGGGCATGGCAGAGGCACCAGCGCCTCACCAGGAAGCAGACTGATGCCAGATCAGGCTGGGCATCCCCTTCAAAGACCCCATTTGCTAAAGGTTCCAAAATAGTGCTTATAGCTGGGACAAGTGTTAAAAACAAGAGCTTGTGTGTAACGTTTTAGATTAAAGCTGTAACTGCTTGTTTTAGTTAATAGGTAAATTCCTTGAGGGTTAATTATGAAGATAATTTTTATAAACTGAACATTTTTCATAATATGCTACGGCGTAAAGCAGTTGATTTTCAGTTGGTTTTTGGTTGACATTGACACAATTTTTTATCTTGGATTTTCTTGAATTCTGTCGGTATAGTATCAAGGCCATTGGCTGCTGTGGTCTGATGGGTTGATAAGACAATCAAAACATGAAGTTCAAGTCATCTCAGGCAGACTAGTACAGTGTGCTGTCACTGTGCTCTGATCTGCCAGTATGTAGCTATTGGATAGACAGAAGCATGTTTTCTTTATCCATATCTGTCTTTCAGGGCCAGGACTTCAGAAAGAGATCATATCCTGGACAGTAACTATAAGCAGTACAGCCCCTGTGTTATTTACAATAATTCATGGTGCTTTCCAGGACCCAAGCATATTCTCAGTTTAAATGAGTGGGCTAACTGTACCCTACATGTATAGTACCTCTGAAGTTTAGACAGAGCCTTCTGTGGCTTCCGTAGATATACAGTGCTGCCGGGGCCATTGCTTGGCTCTCTGTACTTCAGTCACACCCCTGCCGGCTTCTGCTGGTGTGGGTTCAGATACTTACTAGGCCTACTCTGGGACAGACTGACGCCTACAAATTCTTTACGTTCCAAAAGATTTCTACTAACCAAAAACTAATTCTGAAAGAGGAGATTTTGCCCTTTTCCTGGGATACAAATATGTAGTAATGGGTGTGTTTACTTCTTTACAGATAACAGGAGAAGAGTTTTGCTGTGCACCTGGTACCTTATCACATGGTCCTTTCTAAGTGGTATCTTCCTCCTCTATGGAATTTGAGAGACTAAGTCTTTGAAGATATTTAGGGATAGGAGCTGGGTGAGAGATGGCATCTTGAGTAGAAACTCAGATACTTTTTAAAGTGTTCTGTAGAGCAATGTTGACCTTCGTTGGCTCCCTGTCTGCTGTGGTTGTGATTAGTCAGCCACCACTTGCAATCCATGCTGGGCCAACTGCTTTAGTGACTTTGGCTGTGTCTATCACAGATCACCATGCCTATTTTGCTTGCAGTGCAATTGGCAGGTCTCTGCCACCGTGGGTCTTATCATCTCTGTTATAATCTGGAAACTCGTGACAGCAGAAATGCTCCTGAGATTTTCCCTATTTCACGGCACATTTGTTAATCCTTTGCAAGTGTGCTCCTCCTCCCGTGTGCACTCTTTCTCAAAGCTAAGGTGAAAGGATCAACCGCTAGGCCCTGGATGACAACAGGGTGGGTGAGCAGATTGCAAATGATAAATTAATAAATCTCTCTATTCCGAGTGTTGGATTCCTTCTTTCACATTACATGAGGAATTCCTGGTATCTCAACTTTGCTTAGTTTCTGGCCCCATTGGAGTCCAAGTTTAGTCATGTAGTTGAGCACATTATTCAGAACTATCCCCAGCCCTTTAAGTTAGCATTGTGAGTCAGAACTCTTCTAGGGCTCAGCCTGACTTCAATTATGATCCCATTTGTCTCTGGTTTCACACCTCTAGAATCTTTTTGATTTCTCTGCATAAATTAAAATCGTTGAGTGCCTTCTAAGTATGAATTTATACGTCTAGAGGTCATGACCAACAGAATGGTGGAAGTGTCAGTCATAGTATCTTAAAGTGAAGTAGGATCAGTCTTGAATAGTTAGGACTGTTGCTTCTGCCTGCATAGGACTCAAATGAAGTTGGAGAATTTCTGTTCCTTGACTAATCCAAAAGTTCCCGAGTCTTTGATGATCATTGGTCTCTGCTTCTGGCTGTGATGGAGTATCAGGTACTCAGCTCACTCTCCTGCATTCCCTACTGCCTATGTATGAGTTTACCCAAAACATAGTGACTTAAACCCACTGAAGTCTCTCTCCCCTTAAGTCGTTTTGTGTCTCCTCTGTGTTTCTGTGGGGCAGGAGTTTAGGGAGGACTTAACTGGGCTTTGGGGTTTCTCAGCAGTTAGAATTAGGTGGTGGTGAAGGGTGCTTCACAGGGTTTTAGGGTGCTCAGCCATGAGAAGTACTGCACACTTAGGAGAGCTTGAAGCCAGCTGGAGTTTTTTCCTCATCTCACGACTTCTCTATGTGGTTTCTCCTCATGAATTAATGGAGGAATAATGCGACTGCCTACACGACAGCACAGGGCTCCAACCCAGCATCCGGGAAAAGCTCCCAGCTTCCAAAGTGTTATTTTTGCCATAGTCCTAAGCCCACGTAGAGTACTTGCTAAATAATAATAATAATAATAATAATAATATATTAATAATAAAAATAAAAGATGTGTAGCTAAAAGTTCATTGAGAAAGTAAAAGCAATAGAGTGAACCATATGTGATTAGCTCTGACTTTTACACAAAACTAATGAGCCCCAGTCTGCCTTACCTGTGCGTCAGCAGTCCTGTCAGAAGCACCAGCCTGACAGTGATAAGGACAACAAGCCCTCTGAGGTCATCGGGAAGTCCCTCGTTCTCCACCTTGAGGATGGAAACACTGTCTAGTGAATTTGGAAGCAGCTGACCTACCTCTTGCTGGTGCTCCTTCACAGTGCCCTGTCACTCAGTACACAAAACCCTGTGCTTGTCGGTGCTTTAGGCTGAGGCACCAAGAATTCTTTCTTCACTGGGTGTCATGGACTGCCAGTGCTTGTACACTTCACAGTCAGGGTATCTTCCAGCTCAATAGATGAGTTGCGGACAGAGATTTCCAGGGAGACAGTGCCTGCAGTCACACCCGTACCGAGTGACTATGATACTTATTGCAGACCACAGACTCCACTAGAACAGGGTAGAACAGAAAGGAATTTTAAGTGAGTCAGCTTTGGAATTTCTGGAATGGCATGGCACAAAGTTTAGATGCCGTCTTGTCAAGAGAAATGCTTTAAATCACACTATAAGCGTATTTCACCAAAGATGGTGTGGCCACTATCATGAAGTTTTAGTTAAGTGTCTGTCTTTCTAGATCATAGAGTTTTGATCAGATATGTTAATAACCGTTATATTATTTATGAAGAGAGGGCTTATATTCTAAAATATAGAATTATAAAACTTCATGTTTGTTTTGTTTTTCAGGGACTTATAATTATTTTCCCTAGGAAACTGTTTAATAAATTTTGAATCCATGTCTGGAGTAAGGCTGTACAGTCTGTAAATTACCTGTACTATATCACAGATGCAAAAGTGTCGACATCTAAAGACACTTTCAGAAGTGCATCCCTTATTTAAAAGAGCCCATAAATTAGACAATTTAGTAATTACAGATATTAATTAACTTACATTAAATCTAATATACAGACTTTCAGCTTGCTGATGGTTAGAAACAGGATGGCAGATGTGGGTGAGGTAAGTTGAGGATGCGTAGTCGTAATAAGCACAGAACTAGCTTACTTGATCAGGTGGCCTTGCATTATGAACATCAGTCGTTAAGTTCTGAAGCCAATGGGCCATTTGGGACCACGTGTGCCTGCCTGGTGTTGATGTTGCCAATCAGGCTGGGTACCTTTTGCTCCACCTGGACAGAGTTGGGGTAAATAAGGAGAACTTCGTTAAGTGCCGGTCTTTGGCAGCTGTTGTATTGTTGAGCGTTTGCCAGCGGTGGTCAGGTAGACAGGTGTAGCTGCTAGAGCTGTGGCTCCAGGTAAAGCCTTGAGGATCAGACCCTGGCTCTGCAGCTCTTGTGTGGGCCCAGGGACAGGGCTCCTTAGCCTTGATACTTCCAGCTCTAGGCCTTGGGAGCTTACAATTAGAGCTCTGAGCGTTTTGGTTCTAAAGGACTGACAGCTTTCTGCGGCCTGTCCAATGACTACTCCATCTTCTGCCTCTTTATAACCTGACTCCTACCTCAGTTCTCTGTCCTTTCTTCTTGGCATTGTCTTCTTTGGCACTGCCCTGTGTCCACTCTTCAACAACATAAATATAGAACCAATAATGCTGTGGGCCGAGGTGAGGTAAAGACCCTTCGCTAGCAGCAGTAGTGGTGCCAAGCAAAGCAGGGAACGTCTTGAAGTGGACCCTCCTGACAGGCAGGCAGCTCCCCAGTACCCAGGGGATCCCAGGGCCTTACAGCAGGCCCTACCTCTCCTGGTTCCTTTTTACTTACTTTTCCTTGGACCTTTCTCAGGCAGCCTGTGCTCTCGAGCCTTAAAATGACAAGTAATTGAAAATACATAGGCTATGAGATAAAAGTTGTGCATGTACTAAAAATAGCAGTCAGTCACAATTAAGTGATTTTACTGTTTTTATTGTTGTTCTCAGGCAGAAGAAATCCTTAGACGAGAACTGGAGAAAAAGGAAACACCGAGTTTATACTGCTTGCTTGGAGATGTTCTGCAAGATCACTCCTGCTACGACAAGGCCTGGGAGCTGTCACGACACCGAAGTGCTCGCGCCCAGCGCTCCAAAGCCCTCCTCCACCTTCGGAACAAGGAGTTTCGGGAATGTGTGGAGTGCTTTGAACGCTCAGTGAAGATCAATCCCATGCAGGTGAGACCTCAGAAAGCCTCCAGTTCTTCAATAAATACAGTAACATGTACAAGGCACTATTGATCATTTCAGGAGAAAATGTCTAGATTTATACATGCGCAAATAGATCAGAACATTGAAAATATATTTTCTGTAGAGATGTATGCAGGTGCACTTGCCTTTGGGCCTGTGGAGGGCAAAGGACAGTAGCAGGCGTCAGTCTCCAGGAGCTGCCGTCCTTGTGTCTCTCATTCGTTCAGAGCCCGCTAAACAGGCAGTGTGGACTGCCGTTGAGCCGGGGATCCTGCTGTCTGTGTGGACTGCCGTTGAGCCGGGGATCCTGCTGTCTGTGTGGACTGCCGTTGAGCCGAGGATCCTGCTGTCTGTGTGGACTGCCGTTGAGCTGGGGATTCTGCTGTCTGTTTTTTTCCAGTGCTGGCATTAGAAAGGTGGTTTTTTACGTGGGTTTTGGGAATCAAACTCAGGTCCTTGAGCTTGAACACTTCACTGATGGAGCCATCTCTCCAGCCCCACATAAACAACTTTATAAGATTTGAAAAATTAATGCAAAAGGTGTCTAGCTCCTTAACTTCCTGGTAAATCTGCAGGAGAGGTCCTATCTCTAAGGGGAGATCCACCTTATTGATACCCAATGATACTCAGCTGGTGAAGTGATTGGATGAGAGACCGTCTTCTCTCTCTGTGTCAGACTTTGTATTTGCTCTCATTTCACGGGTCCTGGCACCTGCACATGTGCACTGGTTTGAATAATTCATCCGATGGAGACTTCCACCCCTTGCCTGTGTGTAGACACACAGACTCAGGAAGTATCTTTTACACTGAAAGCATCAGTTGGTCTAGAATAGGGGAGGCTGACCTTTGGTTCCTCAGGGTCACACGAGATGGAGAAGAACTTTCTTACACCACACACTAAATCCACAAGCAGTAATGAAAGCTTATGAGAACAAGTGTGTACAGTTTGTGTGACAGACATTTGCTATTACAGATAGGCAGCAAGTCTGTCACAGAGTGATCCTAACTGTGCAGCACCTTCAGAGGGTCTTTTAAGGTTACTGAGTAGGCCCTGTTTGTGACCACTAATAAAGAAAATGAACATATCTAAGTAACAAACTTTGTGGACTTTAAAAATGCATAAATGTGATAGACAGTTACAAAGGAACATAGAACCAGCGGGCTGTGTGACATTGTGTCCGACAGCAGAATGTGTCAGTATCTGGTTTAGTGGAAGCAGTTGCAGTTCTTGGGCAGCTCTAAGTGCTCATCAGACAGCTTGGTTCTCATGGGACTCTCGGTGTGCTTTGGTGAGAACAGTTGCTCAGCTGTTAGGAACACGGTGCTCTTGCCGAGAACTGGAGTTCGGTTCCTAGCAACCATCCATAAGTCCAGTTCCAGGGAACCCGATACCTTCCTCTGACCTCCGCAGGCACCAGCCTGCATATGGCGCACTTACATACAGATAGGCAAAACACTCAAGCACATGAAATTAATAAATCTAAAAATGGTTTAGGTGTTGCCATAGATGACATGAATAATTCATGGTGTTTATGGTGTTTAAAGGCTGGGAAAACACATGATCACATTTTTTTCTTTAAGATGAATATTAGGTTGCAGCTTTATGTGTAAGTTGGCAGGTTACATAGATTTGTGTCAATTGAAAATGGAGTCCTGAATATACCAAAATACTATTTTCATGGAAATCCCAAAATCTGTGTTTAAATTCTGTGACAAATTGAGAAGCAAAGCTACATATTTGTTCACAGGACAGTATTTAGCCCGTGTGTCAGGATGCATAAAATTGTCTGCCTTAATCTGAACTTGCCATACTTGCAGCTCAATACATTGGTTATTCCTCAAGGAACATGCTTAACTCATGTAAGTGAGTGGTTAGATCCATGGAAAATGACAGGTCTGTAAGCTAGACTTTGTTGTCAAGTTCTGGTAACTTTTGATTTGATAACTGATGGTGAGTTGAAAATCATGAAATCTTTTTGATATTTGACCTTGATTTAGCAATCTTATTCCTGAAGAGTAGTGATGTTGCCTAGACCTCTCCCCTTTTGTTTTGTTAAAAAAGAGCCTGGGCAGTTTTCAGGAATTCCTTAATTGATGATTTAATCTCTTGTCCCTTATGAAATTCGCAGTCTTGATAGCAATTTATATGATGTTCCCCATTTGTGTTGTTGCTTGCTCGCTTACGCTTTATTTATTTATATATTTATTTGAGACAAGGTTCTCTGTGTAACTTTGGCTGTCTTGGGACTCACTCTGTAGGCTAGGCAGCCTTGAACTCAGAGATTTGCCTGCTTCTGCCTTCTGTATTCTGGGACTAAGAGCATGTGCTGCCACCACCCTGCAGCTGTTACCCATTTTTAATGCTTTTTGACTATACATTTTCTTGATGTACTGTGCAGTGATGCTTCATTGAATGAATTTGGGAGCAGTAATTGTATCATCTAATATTAATTTTCTGAGACCTTGATTTTTGCCTACCATCTGTGGGACACCCCAAGGAATTAGCCAGATATGCTGATTCTCTTTGAGCCAGATCAAAGGGGATCACCGTAACTCTCCATTTTACTACTTCGTATACATTTCTTTAGCTGTGCCTTTGAATGGCACTAAAAGCCGTTTCCTCAGTGTCACCATCACTGGTACAGTCAGCAAGTTGAGCCGTATGTGTAGCTCTAGTGTCGTCATCCACCCAGAGAGGAAGTGTATCTGTACACTTAACTTCGTGTGATAGTGCAGTGAACTTGGTGAGTCACAAATTCACACTCAAGAACCATATAACCACATTCCAAACACATCATTAAAAATAAAAGAAAATCTCATAGTATTGTACGTAAGTGTATGATATTTGTGTCAGGCCATATTTATAGCCATCCTAGAGTTCATACAACTCATGGGCTGCTGATGGGATAGTCCTGGTTTAAGATTGGCAATGGGTCTCCACAAACTTTCATTTTGTGAAGCTGGGATTCTTAAGTCCATTGGCAAGTCCCCATTTCCCCTTCCTTTCAACCTCTGGCAGTCACCATTTGCTTCCCTTCTTGTGGATTTAACTATTCTACATACTCCATAAGAGCAGAGCCATACAGTATTTGTCTCTTTTTTTCTTATGTGTATGGGTGTTTGGCTTGCATGTGTATAAGTACATCACATGTTGTAGTGCCCTCAGAGGCCAGAAGACAGTATTGGATCCCCCAGACATTTGTGAGCTAACCTGTAGGTACTGGTCAGCTCTTCCCACCCGCAGTATTTTCCTTTGATGACTGGTTTATTTCACTTAGCGGAGTGTCCTCAGGGTTCCTCTGTGCTACAGTAGATAAGAGAACCCCTTCTGTTTGCCTGCTCATTGGGTGGAGACTCAGATTGCTCCCACCTCTTGCCTATTATGGATAGTGCTGAAATGGTATGAAAATGAGGCCAGAAAGATAGACCTGGTAGTCTTTTACACTGAAAACAAACACACAGGAAACAAAACAAAAGCCAGATAATGCTTTTTAAAAATTAGCTTTAGAAAAATTAAGTTTTATTATGGTATTTTCAAACAAAAGGGGTGTTTAAGGTGTGTGTGTGTGTGTGTGTGTGTGTGTGTGTGCTCGCGTGTGTACGCCTGTGTGTGTACATATTGACAGGTTGAGCTAACTGCTTGCTTTCCCACTCTGAACACTGCATACAGTGTTAGTCTCCTCCAAACATGGTGACAGATAGCATTCTGTAGAAGAATAGGATGCATTCACGTACAGTCGTCAATCTACTGAAGTTAACGAGTATTACTTGGCCCCAAAAATGCTTAGTATATAACTTTGGAGTTGGTTTGCATTGGCAGCTATACTGACTCAGCTATTCTAACTGCATGTGATTATGTAATTTTTGGAGATAATTTTGGTTTTCATAATGGGGAAGTGAAGGTATGTGCTATTTGGTTTCTGAAAGGGAGAGATACCAGAGTTGCTGGGGAAAAGTACCCATAATGCATAGCATAGCCATGCTATCTATACTAATTTTTTCTGGCCTATCATGTCAGTAGCACTCTGGTTGAAAACTGTACCTTAATTTAAATCACTCTTTCAGAGGTTGTAGAGCCCAACTTTAGTATTGTACTTTTAAAATTTTGCTTTTCTAGATAACTGCACTGTATCTGACAGTGGTAGTAGCCTCTGCCCAAAGGTTACCTCACCAGAGACTGCGTATGAGCTGGGAAAAGGAATTCTCTATCTTAGCCTGCTGTGGCCTCATTGCTGAGTGCCGGGTACCTCAAACCTGTGAAGTGCAACCTCAGAGTCCCAGTCTTTTGTAACACGCCAACATGGTCATTTTCCTCCTGCCTTAGTGGCCATTCCTTCTCAGTCTCCTTTGTTGTTGACTCCTGAGGGCCTAAGGCTTTACTTAGTCCTTGGGTTTTGTCTCTGCAGCTACTGCCTTGACTTGAGATAACTCCATAGCTTTAACGATTGTCTGCAGCTGATAATTCCCTAAGTTTTCTTTTTCTTTTGACTTCTCTGGAGTCCAGCCTCCTGCATCTAGTTGCATTCTCAATCTCCACATTCATTACTTTAAATCCAATTTCTGGGCTACTCTTCTTAGTCCACCCACCCACTACCATCCCCTTTCTTCTTAATGTCAGTCCCACATAGCTCTGGAGTTAGCCTTGATTTCCCACATCTAATCTATTTACAAAACCATGATGTCTAATATGGATTGTCAACTTGACAGGGTCTAGACTCACCTAGGAGCCCAATCTCTGGGCACATCTGAGAGGGATTATCAAAATTAGGTTAGGTTAGTTTAGGTGGGAGGACTTACCCTGTGGGCAGCACTATTCCATGAGTTGGTGTTCTGATTGAATAGGAAGTAGGTGGAGTTTTCCTGTCCCACAGCTGCTCTCAAATTGCCACACGGAGGCTTTATATTAATTATAAATTCTTGGCCAATAGCTCAGGATTATTATTAACTAGCTCTGATACTTTGTTAACCCATATTCCTTATTTACTCTC